TAAAAATAGTTAATATGAAATTAATTTATATCAGGTCTACTATGGAACCCAAGAATTATAGCACCATTAGAAGTATTTTGAAGAAAGAACAAGGTGAAAAAATTGCACCTTACATTTTCAAAATAAATGATACTCAGACACTGGAAGATTATCTAAGAAAAGAAAAGATTACTTATGAAATTTACCAAGAAGAAAGAAAACTAATAAATATTGGAAAAAGAAAGCATCATGATGATGCATTATTACCTAATAAAAAGCAAAAATCCTTAAAAGGAAAATAACTACTATTTTCAATTTATACAGAGGGAAATTTCCTCAATTACTTTTTCATTTTCAATCAAGATCATCTTTTAGTCTCTTTAACTTCAATTTGTGCAATTTGACCATTATGTTGATCTTTTAATTTCCTGTTTTCTTCTTCTAGTTGCTTAATTTTTTCTTCTAAGCTCTTTATCTTATTCAATAACTCTTGTTTCTGTTTTTTACTTCACTCTTCTGATTTTTCCTGAAATTTGGCTACTTCCTCTCTTTCAACTTCTAGGGCTTCCTCTGCAGTGGCCAACTCTTCTCTTAAAGAATTTATTTGCCTTTCATAAAAAGCAGACATACTCTCTCTTTCCTGAGGCAAATTAGGAAGTTCCTTTTCATTTCTTTCTTCTTTACAATCACAAGTGTATCTAGTCTTTAATCTTCCACAACTGCACTTGGGCAACTCATCATTTTCAAACTTTTCTTTACAACTCTCACAAACCTTATCACTTTCAATCATTTCACCAGTCACTTTGCTTCGTGTTCTGATTTGGCATACTGCTTTTTTTAAACCAAAGCAAAAAATGCAAGTAGAATTACTGCTATGTCATTCTTCTAACTCCAAAATAGTGTAAAGTAATTCTCTCATAGTAGTAAAGCAAACTGATTAACTTTTACTTCTATTTGAGCAGTAAATTCTTGGGTTTGATGTTTTTTATTTTCTACCAATTGTTGAAGTTTTTGGAACTTTGTTTTAATTCTTGAACCTAATTTTTGGAAAGTATTTTGTTTTTTAGGTAGAGCAGGCAAGGCTTTTCTTTCTAAATAAAGTTGTCTATTTAGTTCTTCCTCTCTTTCCTCACTTCTTGCTAACATTTTTGATTTCTCTTCTGACTCCTCTTGTAGTTTTGTATTTTTTGTTACCTCCTCTTCAAGCATTTTATCAGATTTTTGTAGCATTAGTGATTTTTGTTTGATTTCATTATTCAAAAGATCTTTTTGTCAGTTTTTTTATTCTTCAGCTGTATTAATTGCCTCAGCTAGGTCTTTAGAAGTTTGATATAGTTTTTCAATAACTGTGAAAATAATTTTATTTAAATTTTCCCCTATTCTACTTTTTAATTCTTTTAACTCTCCTAAGTCTCAGTTATGAATTTGCTCATCTCAAGAAATATCATCAATTTCTTCTTGTTCCTTATGTCAAACTGACAAGGTTTCTGTAAGTTTTGTTTCTAATTCTTCAATTTGCTCTTTATACTTGTTTAATTCTTTTATTTTCTCCTCATATTCTCACTTTTGTTGACTTAATTCGTTGTTCTCTATTCTTAAACCCTTAGCTTCTTTGTCAAGTTCTATTCAAAAATAAAGTGTAGATTTATGTAAGTAAATAAGACGAATGTAGGATACCTTAAACTTTTTGTCTTTTAAGTGTTCTAATGCAAAAGATCAGTATTTGAAATAATCTTGAATTTCCCTTACATATTTCTCCTCTAGATTCCTATCTAAATTACCAACTGCTTTTCTTATTTCTTCTTTGGTTAAGATTATTTCTTTTCTGGGGATTCCTTGTTCTCTTCCTTGATCTTTATCTGCTAATTGTTTTTCTAAATCAGCAATCTGACTTAGCAATTCTTTATTGACTTGTTGCAATTCTATAATATTTACCATGATTTTCTTTTTTTTATTTGTTTTATTTATTTGCTCTTTTAATATACTAATATACTTATATCCTTTTTATGAGGGCATATTAAGTACATAAATTATTTTAGTACCTTTTTACTTTAAAACTAACAATATTTGTCAAAAGATTAAATTTATTAAACTTGATAACAGCAAGGAAGTGATGAAGGTGTTTTTGTTCTAAATATTTTATTCACTTCTGGTATAGAATGGTCTTGGACAAGTAATATCTTTGTATTCATCTTTCACAAATGGGCGAATATTATAATAAAGATATTCTTGTCTTTTGTAATCCAAAGGAGGAGGTGTTAATACTAAACTACAAGAGGAGTCAGAAGAGAAATCAAAAATGTTAGCAAGAAGTGAGGAAAGAGAGGAAGAACTAAATAGACA